ATTTAAATCCCACCAACAGTACATGAGATTTCCCACTTACCACATCTTCTCCAACACTTGTTTTTTATTTGTCTTTTGGACAATAGCTACTCTCATAGGTGCCAGATAATATCTTCTTTGATATGAGCCTGAAGGATGTGTTTGGATACTTGGTAAGGGAATGAAAAAGGAAACAGAAACCAATGAATGGGGCTATGTCAAATTAAAAGACTTCTGCACAGTGGAAGAAACACATTAAAATGATGACTTCCTACTGAATGGGAGAAGATATTTACATATAATGCATCCAACAAGGGGTTAATATCCAAATTATACAAAGAACTCATAGAACTTAACAATAAAACATTAAAATATTTGCAAAGGATTTAAATAGGCAGTTCTCCAAAGAAGACATGCAGATGGTCAACAGACATGTGAAAAGATGTTCATCATTTCTTGTTATTAAAGACATGCAAATCAAAACCACTGAGTTTTTAAGAAAATCAAGAAGAGAGAAATCTAATTTCTGTGAAAGATCTTTTCAATTTAAAAGATAAATAAGGAAAAGAAGGGGAGGAAGAGAGGTGAAAGGAAGGGAAGGGAAAACCTGTTATGACAAAACACACACACAAAGGGTCTTGTAGTCTGTGGTCCACCTATTTGCAACCTAATTTTCAGAGATTATTATTACCAGTGGAAATCTTGTTGATTTTACCCTCCTCACTCTAAACCACCAGTTAGCCAGGCTTATGAAATGTCATATGTGTCTAACATTTTGGAGAGGATAGATACCTATTATTTGCTTGTGGAGATGAGGAATAGTTGGGGTCAGGAGTGGTCCCACAGTTTAGGAAATCTCTCCTGGATCCATGGAGGTGCTATGACAATTACATTAGTATGTTTGAGAGTTGGGTTAATTTCCTATCTATCCATAGATCAAGAGATTTCCAATGACAGGTATTAACCAGCAATTTGGGCTTTTCTTCTTGATTCTTGAATTGGTGGATAATTTAGCCTCCATTAACAAAACAAATAAAATAAAGGTTGAATGTTAAACTAGTACAATCTTTTGTCTGTGGAAAATAGAATTAAATCCAGTTGACTTTGGAGAGTTTTATGAAGTCCGTCATCTTTTTCTAAGGCTTTCTTCCAACTTTTAGTTGCTGAATTTTGAACTGATCGTATTTTAGAGTCCTCTTGTCAAACCGGGTTTCATGACTCCAAGCACATAAAACAGAAGACATTCTATACTCTTGGCTTCATGAGAGCTTTTTGTGACAGGTGTCCTATGTACTTATCTTTGATATTGTAAGCCTAATTACAGATACATAAAGTTTAATAAATAAGATGCAACAGTTTTCTTACTTCTAAAACAAAGCACTTTAACTGTGTTTTTATTGATAGTTAATGCCATGGGTTAAAACTGTCCACTATTTTGAAGTTTGGCAGGATGTTAATAATGGCTATAGTCGAGGGAAATGGGATCAATTAAAACTCTAATGCTCAAGACCCTATAGTGCGTCCTGTGGAGTGAGTAGAACAGAATCAATAAGCTTGTCTCTTCCCTCCTGGTGCTTGAATTACTTTGGGATAAATGAGACATTTATACAAGTAACAAAGGTAAAAAGCAGCACATAAAAGTACAAAGATGACCATACTTGGTGGATTTTTAAAAGATTTTATGATGAAGGCTTTAGAGGACATCAGAAAGTAAGTGAGATTTGAATGGGTCCTTGAAGAATAGCTAAGTTTTTTGCACTGAGGAGTAGAAAAAAATATACAATAAAGGCACATGAACAGAGAGGAAAGATGGACTTGGGGCACAGTGATTGCAACAGAAAATTCAAGTAAGGAAAAGCTTATAAATCTGACAGTGGTTTAATTAAGCAGAAAGAACTCAAGGCCAACAAAGAAAATATATTCAATCCATTCATATGAATGTTGAAGTCAGAAGAAGTGCTAGTTTGGGGCAGACAAATAATTCCACTTCATTGTTAAACTTCATGTGATAGTAGACAACCAAGTAACACTGAAACAAAACATGAAATGATGTACTCTCAAAATATGGGCCCATCCGGGCTCTCCCTGGTGGTGCAACGGGTTTAAGCTCCACACTATGAAGCTCTCAGAAGCCACTGCAGCATGAGTTTGATCCCAGCCAGGGAGCTGACCCACATGGCACAACAGACCTCTCCAGTCCCACCCGCTGCTCCCCTCAGCAGTTTATTCCAGTAGATCTGTCTCTGGTGAATCCTCTCACCCACCACACCTCTGATGCATACCCCAGTTCCTTAAGCATAAATATATATATATATATTTTTTTTTAAAGGGCCCATCCATCCAGTATTATCTTTGCCTTATTTTGATGCCTAATTCCTGCATTAAGATTGTGCTATTTGAATTATCTGGCACATGCAAAGTAATTCAAAGTAATTCAAGGAAGCCTCTTGCTTGGCAAAAGACCATTTGCAAGAGATTTGAACCAAAAAAAAGTTTGCAACCTTAGAGAACATACAAAGTGTCTTTAACATTGAAAGTACTGGCCCTCCCTGGTAGCGCAGCAGGTTAAAGCACAGCACTAAGAAGCTAAAGCCACTTCCACATGAGTTCAATTCCCGCCTGCCCGAGAGGTGACCACATGACGTGGCAGACCTCTACTGACCCGCCCACTGCTCTCCCCAGCAGTGTACTTCATGGATCTGCCTGTTCTGCTCCCCACTCTGTCTCTGGTGAATCCTCTCACTGCCCCTGAGCTTCTGGCCTGTACCCCAGTTCTGTATGCACAAATAAATAAATCTTAAAAAAAAATTTGAAAGTACTTAAACTACTTGAATTTGGGGATGGGAAGGTACCTTAAAAATCATGACATTCATTCGTCAATTAATTAACTTGGGGTTCAAGGGTTAAGTGGTTAGCATGAGGTTGCAGAGCTATTAGTGATAGAGGTAATATTAAAACATAGCCATCTTCTAGTTTCTCAGCCATTGCTTTAGCCACACAACCCAGTTATCCTTTCCAAAAGATGCTTAGATTCACACATACACATACAAATTTTCAGATACACATATTAAATTCCAATATTTCCACACATTTGGATGCCCTCATCTCTCATTCTCCATTTCCAAGTTGCCATACTGCCTCATTAAACACATAAAATGTCTCACCCTAAATATGATCATATAAAAACGTGTATACACACACATACACACACACACACATGTAGTTTTTTAGGTTACTGGTTTACAAAAGTGAAAGCATTCTTTTCTGTACCTTGCATTTCTCATTCAACTATACTTTGGGGAAAATGCTCTCAAATGAAATGTTTAGCCTAATTAATTGCTCCCTTCAATCACTGAATAGTGCTCTAAAATAAGTATGTCAAAATTTCTTCTACCACCCTCCCATTCATGAGATAGTGATTCACCTCTACAAAAACTACTTCAACAAACATCTTTATATCTATATCCATATATACTGGTGTTTTCTTTCTATTGATAGATTTGGGATCAACAGAGCAAGAAGTTATATATTTTTCATTCTAAAAGCCAAATTGCTTTGTACCTGTAATTCACAAAAACACTTCCTTGCATTATGTCACCCAGTCCAAAGTGTTATAACTCTCTTTTGAAACTATTTACACAAATTCAATTGGAGTAGGGTAAAATCTGTTAGTTTATTTACATTTCTTTGACTACAAATGAATTTGTTCATCTTTCACTGTTTTGATTATCTCGTAAATTAAATTTTCATGTACCTTATCCATATTCCAAAAAAAAAAAGCTATTTTATTTCCTTGTAAAATTCAAGTACTTTCAATATTAAAGACACTCTGTATGTTCTCTAAGGTTGCAAACTATTTTTGGTTCAAATCTATTGCATATGGTCTTTTGCCAAGCAAGAGATTTCATTTTTATTCAGTCATCTCTGTTTATGTTTTCTCTTACAGTGTTTTGTATTTTCTGCCTCATCACAAGAGTTGACCTTCCTTCCCTTAGGCTCTATGGTTCCTACATTTCCTCAGCAAGATTTTTACTTGTTTAATAATTTATTTCTTTTACAGTTTTAACTTTTAGTCCATCTAAATTCATCTAGGGTTTGTTTTGGGAACAGGTGAAAGACAAAGATCTAGTTTTCTTTTCTTCCTGTTGAATAAAGTTTGCCAGTCTCGAATATTAAATAATCTATCCCTTAGCCACTAAAATGCAATGACTTTTCTTCATTAAATTCTCCTTTACTTGTGTATCTATTTCTAGATATTGTATTTTACATGTCTGTCTAGGCCTGTTTCAATATTTATTTACTTGATGACAGTAGCTTTTCAGATTTTTTGTTTGTTTGTTTGTTTGTTTGTTTTAATCTTTGATAAATCAGATCACCCAAATGACTGGAGGTTTTGCAAATGCTCAGGCAAATACATTAAAAATTTATTTGCGGCCCTCCCTGATGGCGCAGCACGTTAAAGCACTGCACTGAGAATCTAAAGCCACTTCCGCATGAGTTTGATCCCCGCCTGCCCCGGAGGTGACCACATGGCGTGGCAGACCTCTCCTGACCCGCCCGCTGCTCCCCTCAGCAGTGTACTTCATCCATCTGCCTGTTCTGCTCCCCACTGTCTCTGGTGAAGTCTTTCGCCACCCCTGAGTCTCTGACCTGTATGAATAAATAAATAAATCTTAAAAAAAAATTTATTTGCTAGATGTGGTGGGATAGAAGTAGCAACTAGTATATCTAAATAACACTTGTACTGTTAAGATATTTTTTCTAAAATCTTTTTTCACAAGATCTTTTTTTATATCAATAGACCTAGGCAGAAAAGTCTTAATGTGCTCCTGAGATCTTAGCCAAATGACAGTGTGGTATATTTCCCAGCCCTCCATGCTGTGTTGTATTAATGGTGCTGTTTTCTCAATTTGCAGATTGATCCTTCAAAGGATTCAGTCCTGACTGTGTCTTCACTCTGAAAGAAGACTGCTTCCCAGAGGGAGCACAACTCAGGCGACAGAGACGAGATATTCCTCAAGAGAAATTCCATGGGGACTGTACCTGAGCCTCTGAGATCGGCTAAAACTTTCCTGATTGAAGCTTCTGGAAAAGAAGAGGACCTAGGAGAGAGGAAGTCAGCTTCATCGCAGCCTGGACCAGCCCTCTTGTGTAAGAACACCAATGGCTTTTCCCACTCTCTTGCAGAAAAAGACCTCAGTCCCAGAGCTGCTGACCAGACGCTAACCCAGGTCTCTGAGCATGAGAACACTCAGCTAGACATGTCCTCTCCTGGCATCTTCAATGAGGTGCAGAAGGCATCTCCCACACTCAACTCTCCCTGCAATACTCAACTGCCAGGAGGCAGTGGGCCCACAGCACCAGCGCCGTGCTCTGCAGCAGGAAAGGACCTTACACACACAGCGAGTACAATGCCAGCCAACCAACACCTCCACCAGGCCAGTCCAGGGGACCGGTCCAGTGCCAGTTCCTCAGCAGAACCTGAAACCACCCTGGTAAAATCACAGAGACCCTCAGATGGAGGTCAACCTGAGGAATCAAGCTGTCCTGCAGCAGGCATCAAGAGTAGCAGCAAAGACGGGGTGCTCTGTGAGTTTTCTTCTCAAGAAGCTGTCCAAGAAACGGTGCAGACTGTAACTATTGCAGCCATGGAGTCTGAGCTTGGTGATGCCTCCTCTCCCATAGGCAGCCCTGAAGGGGAAACACAGCAAGCCATCTGTGGCTCACAGACAAGGTCCTGTGACTCTCCAGCAAAAGAAGATAAATGTCCAGGGCACAAACAGCCGGGTGCCACTGCCACAGACCCTCTGCTCATGACACCTCAGTCACCGGCCCTCCCTAGCAAAAATTGCATGTTGCCTTCAGATCCCGACAAGGCGCTGCTGCCAGCACAACAGCAGGTGTCAAAGTTCAAAGAAGCAAGTACAATGACCAACCAAGTGGAAAGTGCGCCCCAGGACATGCCCAGCAGGGCTCGGCAAGATGCTGAGGTACAGGCCGTGGCAAGCGTCCAGAGCAGGAGTGTCTCCACCAGCCCCAGCATCCTCGCTGCTTTCTTAAAGGAAATCCCCGTTGCTGGGCATTTCGAACAACAAGAACAGTTGCGTGTCATTTGCCACAGCAGTGGAAATGGCATTCACATTCTGGAATTGGCAGACAACACGCAGGGCCCCCAGGAGCCAGAGGCCCGTACCCAGGCAGCTGCTTCCTCGGCTTTTCAAGAGGAAGGTAAATCCGTGATCCCACCAGCTGAGGTCCTGAACACTTCATCAATCAAGATGGCACCCACTAATACACAGGATACATGGAAAGAAAACGGAAGGGCAGGAGAAACGGCCCCCGTCAGGGAAAAGCCCCCCTCTGGACAGCTCCACAGTGTGAATTCCATCTCCCTGGAAGCTGGCCCTGTTGACCAGATTTCTGTCAGAGCAGACCATGGCATTGAAACGAGTCATGACTTAGGGAAATTTGGAAGCAAGTCATCTGAGTTTGCAGTGAAAACCCAAAATGGCCACAAAACAAATCCCGATTGCAAACTCCCTGACTCTTGTGGCCTGGCCAGCAAAGCTGACCAGTCTGGGGGCTTAGAGGCCACAGTTACAGAAGAGGTGATAGAGAGGAAACCCGAGTCTGCTCAGCTAGTGAAAGAGCAAGAACCCAATGGCAGTGATAGTCCCCACATCAAGGCAAGTGCAGAGGCCAAGTCTCTCCTGCTCAATCCTAACTCTCAGGAAAGCGGGATTACCCGGTCAGCTGCCAGCCCCACACCATCCCCAGTTAGAAGGAGTCAGGAGGGCTCTGTAGAAGAAAACAGACAGACCAAGCCAACCACCAGTCTGAACCTGCCTTCTGATTCCCTGGGTGACTCCAGCCCGGGTTCTGGCAAGAGGACCCCTTCGCGCTCAGTCAAAGCCAGTCCTCGCAGGGCCAGCCGCGTCAGCGAGTTCCTCAAGGAGCAGAAGCTCAACGTGACGGCAGCTGCGGCCCAGGTGGGACTCACTCCGGGAGAGAAGAAAAAGCAAATGAGCTCCGACGCCAAGCTGCATTTGAAACAGTCCAAGCGTGTCAGGGACGTGAAGTGGGATGAGCAGGGCATGACTTGGGAAGTGTATGGTGCTTCCCTGGACGCGGAGTCCCTGGGGATCGCCATCCAGAACCACTTACAAAGACAAATCAGGGAACATGAGAAATTAATCAAAGCTCAAAATGGCCAGACCCGAAGATCCATTTCTTCAGATACTTCATCAAATAAAAAGCTCAAAGGAAGACAACATAGTGTTTTTCAGTCCTTGTTGCAGAACTTCCGGCGCCCCAATTGCTGTGTTCGACCTGCCCCTTCTTCCGTGTTAGATTGAAGGGGGACGTGTAGTGGAGCTCTTGTATCTATTTATGATTCGTAAGTGCCCATCTATGTCAAAACGTAATTACATTTTTCTGAGACGTAAGGAAGAGAAGGCAAGTACTACTTCTAGAAGCAGCTGTTGAGAATTGTGGGATCCCTTAGAGGCTCCATAAAAAAAAAATAAATTTCGATTCAGGAAAACAGAAGAGAAAAGAAGTAAACTTTACTCAAAATTTTGACCTTAATTAAGAGGGATAATATTCCTAGAGGGTTTTTTATATATGATATTGCTTATAAAAGTAGGACTATCATTTTACATGTTATTTTGTATCACTGCCTCAATTTATCAACTAAGGTATTTCCATTAAAATCTCTGCTTTATATTACAAATGGCAAAAACACTATCAGCATTTCTGTTAAAATTTCTAGTCCTGCCGCAATAAGAATGCTGTTACCACTGAAAGCTCAAATAGCTGATAGGAACTATAATGTAAAAAATGGAAACTAACTGAACTTTGTAGGCCAGATGATATTAAATAAAAGCACCTAAATGAATAAGACACTAACTATGAATTAATGTTTCTAAACATCTACCTTTAACCCTTTCTTATAAGCCCTGTTATACCTGTTAATAATTGTAAGAAAGTTAAATTAGGAAACTTAGCTAAGCTTTTGAGCATTATGCCACAGGAAATATGAATTTCTATATATAGAATTTCCTGCACTGAATGCAAGATACAGCTCTGTGATTCTGACTAGATTAAATTCATATTCTCTTACCCTGGAGGAAGTACATGCTGCTGAATCCTTAAAAAGTCATCAAATTATTGATATTACTAAATTTTATGTTGTACATGTGTTCTCCCAAAACAGTCTACTGAGATTATTACAGCTCTGGTAAGGAATTATAAATAGCCAATTCCAAGCCCTCTTTTTTCTAAGTTGAAAAAAAGAAAGTCTCATGAGTAACAAAAGCAATATGTTTAACTTGGATGCCTGTAAATAGGATGCAGTTTGTGTTTTTCTTTTGAGTTGGTTCAGTAGCTTCTGATAGAAACTCTAGTCTCCACCAAGTAGAATACAAGCTTCCTTATAAGTTTTGTACATAGACTAAAATTATCTAATTGCTTCTATTTATAATCTATAGTAAAAGGGTAGCCTCTGCAAATATATTGATTTTAGGAGATACCATCATTTCTTAGCCTTTAAACCCAACAAAAGAACAGTTTGAGCTGCGGGTAGAAAATGGACCCTGAGAACATAGACACCTGGTGAGTTAAGCCCTCATTTGTCTCCACAAGAGGAGTCTGTCCTTGATCCTATGAGTGTCTTTCAGGACACTGGAATGACCAGTAGGAATCTGCTTCCAAGAGACTCCCCCTCCTTTATTCTTTGTAGAAGTGCTGGGTTCTGCCTAGCACTAAGGGAAGGATACCGGTAGGTGTTAGAGGGTGCTGCTTCCTTCCCTGAACTCCCTTCCCTTGCCTGGACATGTTTCTCTCTCCAAAGATGCATAAACACCATTTAGGCAGTAAGTTCATCTTTTTTGCTTTGATATCTTTTAGTCTAATTATCTTTTGCAGATTTTGAACATATGTGGAAACGACCTGAACTTTAAGCTACTAGGAGTACAACCTAAATTAGCAAATAACCATTGATTTACTTCAAAGTTAAGAGAATTATTGGGGGCCTTCCTTGGTGGCACAATGGGTTAAAGTGCAGCACTCTGAACTTATCAGCAGCCACTTAGGCGTGAGTTCGATCCTGGGTTAGGGAGGTGACCCACATGGAGAGGCAGACCTCTCCTGTCTCACCCACTGAGCCCCTCAGCAGTGTGTTTCCCTGGATCTGCCTGTTCTGCTCCCCACTCTGTCTCTAGTTAGTCCTCTCATCTCCACTGCATCTTTGGCCTGTACCCCAGTTCTGTATGCATAAATAAATGAATATTTTTTAAAAGAGAGAATTATTGGACTGTATGTGAAACCCTTGTAAGTAGGCCACAATCTACTTTCTTAGAACCAGAGTTAGTAACTATAGTCATATAGTTAGAGCTTAGAATGATTTTTTTTAATAAGACACATTTATCAGTTTCTTACCAACTGGCTTCTGTTAAGACTTTTATCTAAAATAGAAATTATAATCAAATTAGCAATAATTACCAGTAAAGATTAGGGACTTGATCTCAAACCTGGCCTTAACTATACATTTGTAGTGGCATTTATGCTACTTCTGTGGGAGATACCTTTGCCAAGATATAATGTCTTTCCTCTGCCTACTCACACATTGGCTTTCATGTTACGTATATTACAGAAAACACCCTGTGTACAAGGTAGCAGCTGTCAACAGTACTCACTCCAGATAGGTGGGCCCCAGGTAATCCCTTGCCATGAGTTGGCTAGAACAGGTTGTTCCTGCATAAAATAGGAGAAAAGGAAGAAGAATTCATGTAGCAATAATATTTATTTTCATGAGTTTGGAGTAACCCTGTGATTTATACCTAGTTACATGAAACAGAGACCTAAGATAGTTGTAGGCATTTATCTCACATCAAATAAATTAATAAAATTAATTAAGTTTAATTCAATAAATTAAAACCAAATTCATTATGGCAGTTGTTCAATTTAAGAAAAGTATTAAACAACTTAATATTTGATCAGTAAAGTTCAACTGCTTTTACTTGGTGATGGAACTAACCCTCATTCCTTACTATTAAAGTATTATTTTATCATCTTCTCTTCCATCACACTCTACAGGTTGTCACAAAAGCACTCTTTCTTTTATTTTTTTTATTAAAACTTACAGAATGAACAGCTTTTTAAAACAATACCACAGATAGATCATAAAATGAATAAATAAATTTGGGAGGCTTGTTAAAGGAGCAGCATTTTGTATTTGGATATCTTAATTTCTTTCACAGCAAAATATTTATTTGACATGCTTCCTTCCCTGTGATCTGCGATACACATGAACATTCACTCAGTACATTATTTATAATTCTTTAGGTTCATTAGAAAATGAAGCTGCACAACATTTTCCCTGGCAGACCCTTTAACCTAATTCGATTCTCACCTTGTTATCAAGAAATAATTGAGTTGAAAGTTGTTTTTGCCCTTGGTCTCTTTTAGATTTGCTGTGGTTCCTTTTAGTGCTCTTCAGTTGCTGGAATATTTTTATAAAGTAAACTAATATAAAATATATCTGAAACCAGTAGTATAAGAGATGAGTTAGGACATAATGTTTGCTAGATAATTGCACATTTAAAATGTTAATATGCTATTAGGTAAATATTAGAATTTTTTGATTTATATATTGGTTTTGGTTGTGTGACCATCAGTAAAACTTCATTGCTTTGGCCGTCATGTTAATCTTCCGTGCTTTTTTCAATATGTCTTTCTGTTTGTTTGCTCTAGTAGCACAGATCAACAACTCTACACACTGTAAAATCGTAATTAACCTTTGTGTCTTAGATCTGTGACAGAAGATGAATATTTTGTTAGGTGAAAGTTAACCAGAAATATATTTGTTGACATCATTATAAATTTCATTATAAATGAGATTTTGGTAAAATATATAGTATGTTCCCTACTTTGACAGTTCAGCTATATTGAATATCACTTGATTTTTGATGATTCTTGATCTGATATTCATAACTTCAGCGTTCATTATTTTGGATACTAGTGTTCTGTGTTTTAGGTTAAATATCAAAATTGAAATAAAGTAGAAAGCAGAAGAGGAAAATGATATTTAGGTGAATCCCATGGTGTTGAGGTTTCATTGTTTCTAGCTTATCCCAAAGTTATTTCTCTCATTTCTGTGAGTCCATTCTGAGAATACCTGTATATACTACATCATGAATAGAACATGATGTGACTTTAAAATATGTTTGCAGAGGGTATTTGAGTATATATGAGTATGCTATTAATGTAAATTGTTGAACTTTGTGGTATCCACTGTTACTGTTCAGCTACCAAATGTGAGATATTGTCTGCTCTGCCTCCCACATATTGTGAAAGTGTTTAAAAAAAAAAAAGTGTCTACTTCTAGTGTCATATAAATTACCACATCCCTTGTCTAATTTTTAAAATCAGTATAGAGGAAAATAGTACATTAGGAAAAGGTTTGCATATATGTATATGTGTTTTTACTGAAAATTGGGCACTTATAACCTGTGTAGGCCTTTACCTGCCTGATTCCTATTCGCCTGTTGATATAATGATGCCATGGGATGACAATGTTCACCCCCTCCTGCTCCACCCTAAATATGTTTGAGAAATGATTCCTGTGAATTTCCCTCTGCGATAATAATGCAGATCTTGAATAAATGAGCCGATCGTCTCATCCCCACCCCGTTTGTCCCTGCAGTGACTCTGAAGGCTTGTCCACTTCTGCTTCAGTGTTCGCTACTTTATACTCCTACCTGAGAGCATTTTGTTTTCTGTTCGCGGTGTTATTTGATGTCCTGTGTGACCCTTTTGGTTGAATCTTCCCAACTACGAGTTGGCTGCTGCCACCTAGCAAGTAACAGGTGATAATGCCGGATCTCCTGTCTGTCCTGTAACTACACCCTTCATAATGAAATCCTGCAACCGGCTAAGCAATTATAAATGTCATCTGTGCAGACACATGAGCTTAAGAATGTCAACACTGTAGACATTTTGGCAAAAGGAGAAAAGATATTTTTGTAAATACTGAAACCGGTTTCGATGAACTTTACCCTACTGGGAACAAGAAAAACTCTCTTTGGCTTCAGAAATCGAATAGGCGTTATTTGCAAAGACTAATGACACACATGAAGATGGATGAAGGTGGAAAGATTCTGACTCACAAGTAATCAATGACATCTGCAGAGATCATCACAGTACTTTAAACTGTGAGCTCTCACCAGCCAAATGATTCACTCACCACAATCAAATAACCTCTCTCACAGTAAATCCAGTACACCTGTATATATGTATAGATAGATAAAACTATCCTGAAAAGTTACTATTGGGTATTTGGTATATCAAAGTGATGATAATTATGAAGGACATTAAATAACCATTTGGTAGAATGACTGTAGAGGCCAAAATAGTGCAAAAAAAAATGTTATTTACAA